TGCCCAAACTTCTCCACGTGTTTCTTTAATTGTAACAAAACATACGGAGCGCTTCAGTGCGCGTTGGGCAGGAGCCAAGAACCAGAAGTGAACTAACTTAAAACGAATTTACAATTACTTGCCTTCATGGCTTACTGTTCTTATAATTACTTGTACTTATAACTACTCGTAATGACGCACAGCTGGTTGCTGCGCAACGCGTCGTTACATGTGCTCTCGAAATGTGAGGCGCCTGTCCAAAAGTACGCCCAAATATCTGTAGCTCTTGGTGTGATTCAACAGCTGGTTCTGTAAGGAAACGCCAGGACAGCTCATCCTGCGCAGTGCGTAGGTGACATTGGCGCACTTGCTTGCGTTGATGCTAATATTCCAGCGATTTGCCCACATTTCGAAGCTCTCTAGGTACTGCTGCAAAATATCTGTGGCTTCAAAGATATTCTTGTTTCTAGCCAGGATAGCCGTGTCATCTGCGTAGGTAGCTATTAGAAGGTCCTTCGGGTCTTCAATAGGAATCATAGTGCCAGTGGGCATATCATGTGTAAATAAGGTATAGAGGGTGGGCCCCAAGACACTGCCTTGCGGAACTCCTAATACCCCTGACACTGGATTCCTCTCCATCCAGCACCACCGTGAAGGTCCTATCTGCGAGGTAGCTCCGTAGTATCCAGAACAGTTGAGGAGGCAGCATTAGCTTAATTTTGGCTAGTAGGCCATTGTGCCAGACTCTGTCGAAGGCCTGCCTTATGTCCAAGTACGCCGCCACCACGTACTCCTTAGCCTCAAATCCCTCAAGGATGAAATTTGCTACCCTATTCAATTGTTCTGGTGTTCCGTGGGATTTTCGGAACCCAAATTGAAAGGGAGGGATTTTATTTGTCACTTCTTTTAAGGACAAAAGTCGTTTCAGCAGGCACCGCTCGAAAAGTTTGGCTATTGTGGGCAGTAAGCTGATTGGTCTGTATGAGTCCATGGAAGAAGGGCTTTTGCCAGACTTATGGATCATACAAATCCTCGCTTTCTTCCAGAGGGCTGGAATATGTCCCAGTCTCAGTACTGCGTTGAACACAAGCACCAAGAACAACACTGCTTTGGCTGGCATCGCCTTGATGATGTGATTATCCAGGCCATCATCACCTGGAGCTTTTCTGCTTTTCAGCCCTTTTATGTGTCCAGTGACTTCCTCCACTGTAATGGGAGCAACCGGGGGACATAGCTGTTCCGGACTCTCGAGGGCCAGTTGTACTTCGTTTTGAGTGGTTGTTGAGCTGGTACTATATGGCTGGAACCGTGCCTCTAAGTCCAGTGCAAAAGCCTCTGCTCTTTCTTTTGGAGTTCTAGCCCAGGATCCATAAGGCCTTTTTATTGGAAACTTTGGAGTCACTTGCTGCTTGTACCGTTTAGCCAAAGTCCACAGTGAATGCTTTGAGCTTGCATCCGTGGTCGCTTTAGCAAGAAGTTCGTCATTTTTGTTTTGCTTGTGTAGTACCAGCAGCTTCTTTACTCTATTGGCTACTTTGCAATATACCCTGTCCACTATTGGATCCCGAGTGCGGCAGAATTGTCTTCTGAGCCTTCTTTTAATGAACAGTAAAGTTTCAATTGCTGGCGGGAGTCTGTTTTGAGAGTTTAATCCATGCGAAAGTGTATTGGGAGCAGCGCATAGGGCAGCTGCATGTACCTTATTGAGAAAGATCGCATGTGCATCCTCGATGTCTCCTGGCACCAGTATTTCCAGATTTAAGTCAAGAGCTTGTTCCAATTCTCGACGAAATATAGCTATATCTGCCCCTCGTGGTAATAGGCGTCCTTTCTGTACCTTTAAAACCGTAATACAGTCATAGGTGGCTACTAAAGGCAGGTGATCAGAAGAAAGCTGGAATTCTGTTCTTAATTTGAGGCTGTCTTGACGCAATCCATTAAAGACGAAAAAGTCAATAGCGCTGGGTGTGTGGCTTGCTACAACAGGATAATGTGTTGCTTGTCAGTTGCAAGAATTTGGGCTGAAGAGTTTTGGACTGCATTCTGCAAACATTTGCCTCTCTTATCCGCTCTAAAATTTCCCCAGAGTCTGCTTTTGGCATTGAAGTCTCCTCCAATGATGAATTTATTCCCAAGGTTACTAAATATCAGGCTGAAGTCTGCTTCTGACCATGAAAGTTTTGGAGGGAGGTAGAGAGACGACACAACCAAATCTCCCGAGCTTGTGGCAACTTGAATCGTAGCCATTTGTACATGTGCAGTCTTCACCGGGTCACAAGGGAAGTACGAAATGTCCTGTTTGACTAGGATCGCCGCTCCTCCTCTAAGTCTGTTGCTGGGATGGTCTGCTTTGAGGATATTGTAGCCTGGAACATAGACGCAGATGCACTCCTGTAGCCAAGTCTCAGTGATGAGCATCAAGTCTATGTTATGTTGTCAAAAACACAGATGCTGATTTTAGCTTTTGTTGCTCAATATTTCTTGCTTGAGCTGATTTCACCACACTTTGGTTCGCGTTCACACTTTGGTTATTTTGTTGCTTTTGGTTCTTGTTGCTTTTGGTTCTTGTTGCTTTTTATCTACTATTCCAGTTTGAACCGATTTCGCGAATACGCGTTTATATTTACGGTTATTTTTTTATTATTTTTATTTATTTCTATATATTTTTTTAAACACTGTATCAATTGTTCAATCGATACCAACAATTTGTTTCAGAATTTTTACGTTGGGCGCCAATTAGTTATTTAATATCTGTAACTAACAGTGCCGTTGCAACACATCTGGTGCAACCACAACTCTGGTCATTGGCTTTTCAGCAGTTGCCAATCGTCAGTGGTTAACTTGTACATTCGTATTAATGTATACATTGGGCAATCGAACACAGTTGTTTGATTGTAAAAAAATAATGCTCTAAAAACAACAACAACTGCAAGTCATTGGCTCGCTCTTCTTCTTTCGTTTTGGCCATTTAATGTTAATTGCAAAGGCAAAACGCGAAAAGTTTACAGTTACCGTCGCTAGGCAACGACTGCGTAAGCGATAGTAAAGCAGAAACCGAATAATGGAGCTACGCATATTCTGCTTCGCATTGCGGGCAGATGTATGTATGTATATATGTATATGATTTGTTCTTATTGATCTCAATAAATAATTCGATTTCATTATTTAAATATTCTGCCTATTGCATTCAAACTCCGATATTTTGATGGTATCGGTGGCTTCAACTATCGAAAGTTTTACTCTAGCAAATTGAGATGAGAATTGTCAGTGCTTTTTGATCGTGGCTCATCGCTGCACGACATTGACACGAGTGCCGTGTTTCATATTCCGAGTTTGTGCGTGACCGTATTGACTCAATATGGCACGAAAAGACTCAAATGTGAATTTAAAATTAGGATATACCCTTATAATTATTCCCCTTTTTTGCACATAGTCTATCTTAAAACGTTGCGTTATCTATATATATAAAACAGTTTGTCCTGACTAATTGGTGATCAACGCACAGCCCAAACGGTATAAGATGAAATTTGGACTCAAGTATCCTTTCATAGTATCCATCATAGTGTAGGAGCACACTAAGAAAGGCTTTTGGAAAATACTAGCTCCACAGGGGGGAAAACGAGCTTTAAAAAATATTAGTTATAGTGGTCATGTTCGTTTAACGAAATAGTTTGGCAAGAACAAAAATGCAACGGACTACTGAACAATTTTTTGTCAAGAACAGAAAATGTTCATTCAAATACCTTAAATGCCTTCCTACTGGTAACCTTTAAGGTGAAAACATATGGGTAGGTTATGCACACACAAAATAAATACAATTGGAAACATTATATTGAGCCGGGTAAAGACGGGCAATACCTGCTAGTATAGATATATATATATTAGGTTTGCGGGAGGTGAAAAATGTAACAGGCAGAAGGAGACGTGGCAGACCCCACAAAGTATATATATTCTTGATCAGCATGACGAGACGAGTCGATCTAGTCCTACCTGTCTGTCTGTCCGTCCGTATGAACACCTGGATCTCAGAGACTATAAGAAATAGAGACAAAAAATTTTGCACAAAGATGCCTTATGTGTGTACGCCCCCCCCCCCCCACTTTCCCCCTATGTGGGTTTTCCCGATTTTCCATTCGTATAATGGCCTATATCTAGGAGACTATAAGACCCTTTACGTGAGTTCGAATACCGAGAGAGGTAAAATCAATAAAAAAAATTTTTTTATTTTCTTAATTTTTTTAATTTCTATAATTATTCTGAACATATGTATAGAGTATTTCAAAGTCGGGACACCCGACTTTAGCTTTTTTACTTCTTTTTTTTTAAATTTTATTAATTTTTTTTATTTTCTATAATTATTGTAAACATATGTACAGAGTATTTCAAAGTCGAGACACCCGACTTTATTTTTGTTATTTGATTCATAACTTCCATAGTTCTTCGATGAAATTGTACATTAACACTTATGTATGTATGCATTTGTTGAATATAGAATTTAGTTATTTTATTAAATTAATTAAATTTTTTGATTTTTTTCCTTTTTGTGGGAGAGGTACAGTATATTAAAGAGTTGCGCCCGTTTAAGTCTAGCATGCCTTTCTTGTTTATAATGTCTATAATAATCGAACACATAGGTACTGAGATGGACTGAGAGACTGAATGTACAATGCAGCGTCAAACATAAAACCGTTGTGCAGATTTACTTCACTTTATTAGCTTTTCATGGCGAACTCAACGGGCTAATGAGCCAAGGAGCCAAGATAAATGTAAATGTTTTCACAAACTCATTCTTAAACTGATGCGCGTCAGCCGGAAGTACTCCACGATCAGAACTGCGATCGCTGATAGAACTTTTGGAGGAGAGCTCCTTGAAATTGTTGTTTTGGTGTTGATGCTTTAAAAAGTGATAATCGATACGTAGGTGACGCCAAACTTGAGATTTGTATCAGGCTTCAAAAATTTGCTTTACAATATTAATATTTTTGGGGGTATCTTTTTATATATTTATGAACCAAACTCACTTGTCTTATTAGAGATGCATATGTAAAAGGTGGGCGAACGTCCGCATTTTTGTAGAACTCTCTGTTTCGTTGAATTTCTGTTAAAAGAAAAAAAAATAATATAATAAAATTAATTGAATGTAATAGCCATAAATCAAATCAAACTATCCCTGCCCTAAGCGACAATGTGGAGAAGAGCTAAAAATATATACAAGAAAGGAATTCTAGAGTAGAGCGGGCTAAACTGTTAAATATCCTTTACCCACTCCCAAGAAAAAGAAAACACAGGAAAATTTTATTTTAAAGCATTAAAAACAAGTAAAAAAGCTAAAGTGTGGTGTCCCGACTTTGAAATACTCTGTACATATGTTTAGAATAATTATAGAAATTACAAAAATTAAGAAATTGATCAGAAAAATAAAACAAACTCGTATGGCGTACACACATAAGGCAACTTTGTGCAAAATTTGGTGTCTTTAGCTCTTATAGTCTCTGAGATCCAGGTGTTCATACGGACGAACAGACGGACAGACAGGGTTAGATCGACTCGTCTCGTCATGCTGATCAAGAATATATATAACTAGCAGGTATTGCCCGTCTTAACCCGGCTCAATATAATGTTTCCAATTGTATTTATTTTGTGTGTGCATAACCTACCCATATGTTTTCACCTTAAAGGTTACCAGTAGGAAGGCATTTAAGGTATTTGAATGAACATTTTCTGTTCTTGACAAAAAATTTTTCAGTAGTCCGTTACATTTTTGTTCTTGCCAAACTATTTCGTTAAACGAACATGACCACTATAACTAATATTTTTTAAAGCTCGTTTTCCCCCCTGTGGAGCTAGTATTTTCCAAAAGCCTTTCTTAGTGTGCTCCTACACTATGATGGATACTATGAAAGGATACTTGAGTCCAAATTTCATCTTATACCGTTTGGGCTGTGCGTTGATCACCAATTAGTCAGGACAAACTATTTTATATATAAAGATAACGCAACGTTTTAAGATAGACTATGTGCAAAAAAGGGGAATAATTATAAGGGTATATCCTAATTTTAAATTCACATTTGAGTCTTTTCGTGCCATATTGAGTCAATACGGTCACGCAGAAACTCGGAATATGAAACACGGTACTCGTGTCAATGTCGTGCAGCGATGAGCCACGATCAAAAAGCACTGGCACCGATACCATCAAACTATCGAAGTTTTGAATGCAATAAGCAGAATATTTAAATAATGAAATCGAATTATTTATTGAGATCAATAAGAACAAATCATATACATACATACATACATACATCTGCCCGCAATGCGAAGCAGAATATGCGTAGCTCCATTATTCGGTTTCTGCTTTACTTTCGCTTACGCAGTCGTTGCCTAGCGACGGTAACTGTAAACTTTTGGCGTTGTGCCTTTGCAATTAACATTAAATGGTCAAAACGAAAGAAGAAGAGCGAGCCAATGACTTGCAGTTGTTGTTGTTTTTAGAGCATTATTTTATTTACAATCAAACAACTGTGTTCGATTGCCCAATGTATACATTAATACGAATGTACATACATGCTATATTCATACACAGGCATACATATGTATGTTTCTCTTTACTTTTTCAACCGTACGTAGAGAACCGCACACATAGACACGAACTGTTGCTTGTTGTGTGTGTGAGTGCGTGTATGTGATGTCCCCAACTATTTGATATTTGTTGTTGCTGCATAAAGCTATTAATGAAAACCCTAATGCCAAATGCACTAAACAAAGAAAAAATTACTTTTAAAAATGTTATATAATTTTCAATTAATTAACATTTCTTGCTCTGTCAGTGCCAGACGAATGTACATACATACATATGTAGATACATATGTACATACATAGATGTGCACATATGTATCTATGGACATTCACACATTAGTGTCTCACATTTTGCTTTGGCTATTTCAATCGATTGCACGCAACTACACGAACAGCTGTTTGCATGTGTGTGTGTGTATGTATACTTAGTTGTCCCCAACTGTTTGATATTTTGTATTGTTTGTTCTGCCTGCTTTTGTAAAATGCATATTTTGAAAATCCTTGAATGCAAAGTTGTAGATTTAGTTACGTAGATTACATTATCCAAATTTTAAATCGATCGGACTAAATTTATAACACAAACTTTTCATTTGAAATAGTGAATAAATATTAAAACCCCAAAATTTCAAGCTCCAACACAAATTTCGAAAATCTAAGTATGCAGTTTTGTTTGTATTCTTTAATTGATTTTAGAAACTAAGTTTTAAGTCGATCGGTTGAAAAATGCGGATTTTTCAAACAAACTTTGGAGCTACTTTTCCCCCCTTTGGAGCTCGAATTTTCCAAAATCCCTTCTTAGTGCTCATCTACACCATAATAGGATACTTGAGCCCAAATTTCAGCATCCTAGCTCTTACCGTGTGGGCTGTTGACGCGGTTTGCTTTTGTGCCCCAAGAAAACCCCAATAATTCAAGCTCCAACAAAAAATTTAAAAAACCGAGTATGCAGTTTTTTTTATATTCTTTAATTGATTTTAGAAACTAAGTTTTAAGTCGATCGGTTGAAAAATGCGGATTTTTCAAACAAACTTTGGAGCTACTTTTCCCCCCTTTGGAGCTCGAATTTTCCAAAATCCCTTCTTAGTGCTCATCTACACCATGATAGGATACTTGAGCCCAAATTTCAGTATCCTAGCTTTTACCGTGTGGGCTGTGGGCTGTTGACGCGATTTGCTTTTGTGAACCAACAAAACCAAGTATACAGTTTTTCTTGGAATTGTTCTGAGAGTATACAAACTAAGTTTGAAGTTAATCAGATGAAAACTGTAGATTTTTCATACAAACGTTGGAGCCTGTTTTCCCCCCTTTGGAGCTCGAGTTTTCCAAAATCCCTTCTTAGTGGGGACCTAGACTTTGAAAGGATACTTGAGTCCAAATTTCAGCTTCCTAGCCCTTACCGTTTGGGCTGTGCGTTGATCACCAGTCAGTCAGTCAGTCAGGACAAACTGTTTTATATATATAGATTTGTGGGGTCTGCCACGCCTCCTTCTGCCTATTACATTTTCAGCTCCCGCAAACCTAATATACTCTTGTACTTTTCATGTACAGAGGATAAAAATAGAATTTATTAATTTAATACATACATACATACATAAGGTGATAGTAGTATATCCTTTCACCCTTTGGGTACAGTGTATAATAATATCCACAGAAGGATATCTGTATTAATCCAAACAATTTTAGAAAATATTCTTTCTGAAAATACAGGCCATATCAATTTTAATGTAAGCCCTGCCCGCCACGGCCAAGTAACAGACTATAAATCAAAAGCGATTATTAAGCTTAAGAGGCCACCAACTCGAATAGTTTAGCCATAAGATTATTTATACTCTCACCCCAGTCATCCTACGCGAAAAAGGGGGTCAGGAATGAGAGATTGGCGTTCTATATGTTGCCTCAAAAGTCTCATATACAGGAGTGCCATAGAAATCTCTTCCGCCCAAGTTTCGCCTCAAAACCAATTATCGGTGCTACAGAAATCTTTTGGTAGGTTCCAAATCTCGTTGTGTTGCCAGGAGTTTTGATTAAAAACACTAACAAAGTTATTTTTATACTCTGTACATGAAATGTACAAGAGTATATTAGGTTTGCGCGAGCTGAAAAATGTAACAGGCAGAAGGAGGCGTGGTAGACCCCACAAAGTATATATATTCTTGATCAGCATGACAAGACGAATCGATTTAGCCCTGTCTGTCTGTCTGTCTGTCTGTCCGTCTGTCCGTATGATCACCTAGATCTCAGAGACTATAAAAGCTAGAGACACCAAATTTTGCACAAAGATGCCTTATGTGTGTACGCTATACGAGTTTGTTTTATTTTTTTGATTTCCCCCCCACTTCCCCCCTATGGGGGTTTGCCCGATTTTCCATTCGTATAATCGCCTATATCTCGGAGACTATAAGACCAAATTTTAGTCCCAGATGCCTTGTATGAATACGCAGAAAATGAAAATATATTTTGGAATTTCCCTCCCTCCCCCCTCTCCCCCGCAAATGCGATTTTCTCTAACTCCCGTAATTCTTGGAATTTCGAACTAAAATTTTGGAAATACCACCAGTTGGTTATTATGTGTCCGTGTGTCAAGTTTCACTATGATAGACCGATTTAACAAGAAGTTATAGCCATAAATATATTTGCTGCTGCAGCGCTGCTGCAGCGCTGCCCACGGCTGTTGTTGATGTTGCTGTTTAGTTGACTGCGAAAATGCTTACACAGACACAAATAGACGCACATAAACATACATACACTCACATAGACGCAATTGCTTTGTATATGTGCAATTATATACCCTTTACGTGAGTTCGAATACCGAGAAAGGTAAAATCGATCATTGAATTTTTTTTTATTTTCTTAATTTTTTTTATTTTCTATAATTATTGTAAACATATGTACAGAGTATTTCAAAGTCGGGACACCCGACTTTAGCTTTTTTACTTGTTCCTCATAAAAAAATCATTGTGATATTGACCTTATACATTTTCTGAAAAATCTGCATATCCTATATCCACACATAAGGGGTACACACTTTACGCTGAACGCACTTAAGAGCTAAGCATAATTCATACGCGACGAAATAGGATCGCGCTAATATACATTGGGCAGCATAATTGCAGCGTCGGCATGTTTACGGCGCAATTAACGACAGTGACTTCAAATGCACAAAGTATGCACCGCAGCCGCTCCGCTGCCGGCGTTTCTGGCAGCGCAGCTACGCGGCCTTAGCTTAGAATTACTTTAAGTCCAAGTGTAAGATACAGATATATATGTGACGTCTTAAGAAACAGTTCAAAATAAAGAACTGTATCAAAACTTACAGTGTTTTCATTAAAACTTGGATACATGGACGCAGCCCCTTGATAATCTTTATAATATTATTAAATTAGCAAATTACTAAATGTATACTTAAATTACCAGCATTCACACACAGTATCCAAAACAACCGCCCAATTGGCCCAAATAGAAAATTACATCAAAGAATTAAGTTGGCAGCAAGCAGACGTGTTTTACTTTCGCTCCGAGAAAATT